CGCACAACTGGGGGAAATCACCTGGTGATACAAAGTGACACTTTTCAGATGAGAACAGAAATAGAAACCCCAACCAACAGTTAAGTTATATAAGGGCCACCGACAACAGCAAGGCCGGGGCTTTAAAGAAACAAATAGGTCTGTGCAACAAACTCAGGTTCTGGAACAGCACTACACTCCAGAAGTGGACGAATAACCATACAATTTTTTCGGAGTTTACTGCTGCTCAACGCAAACAAGAAAAAGAACAATCGCGCGGTACGTCAGGATCTTGAAACCCAGGGCAAACTCGAGTGGATCAGTCACAGTTACGATGGTTCGTAGAAAATCGGCCTCCATGGCAGTCAAGGGAGGCTTAGAACAGGGAACCAGACCTCCGGGGCGACCCATGGTCCGCTGGGAAGACAACATCCGACTGTCCCTGGCTGACAGAGAACTAGAATGGAACAAAGCCAGAAAGAAAACTGCAGAAAGAGAAATCAAGCTTTCTCTCTGGCAAACCTCAATACCCCAAGGTAGAAGAGGATCGACTAAGTACAGGTAAAGTTGTCATAAGGATCTGTGCGCACCAGCTTGTTAATGCTGTGTGGGACACGAGGTAGAGGTCTCTGAGGCTGAATAATTTAGGCCGCATGGCTAGTGCTGTCGTCACGAACTGTGCAGGTTAGTGTGTTTAGTTTTGCTCCCGACGGAAAAAAAAAAACTTGGCCAATGCTGTAATAAACAGAATGGACAGGGAGATAACAGAATACATCTGTCATATGGTGGGAACACTACCACTGGCGAAACACGCAACAAGGCAATACATCAACTATTCTGAGTATTGAGACAGGAATAACAATGGATCAATCTTCGTTAGAAGCCTACATGAACTGGTATAATTGTTTTAAGAGAAAGAGAGAGTGAAAGAGAGAGAGAAAGAGAGAGAGACAGAGAGAGAGAGAGAGAGAGAGAGAGAGAGAGAGAGAGAGAGAGAGAGAGAAGAGTGGCCAAGGGAAGAAAGTTGAAGCAAAGAAAGAGGACCACGGGGGAGAATCGCGGAGTGAGACGAAATATATAGATTGGAGATTGGCATGCACCGTGCAGAATGGCAAGCATCGCTTCAGAGATGCATGGTAGTTGGCGTTCTTTGGATATTTTCACCAGGTTATGCTAGTGTTTTGGAAAACGAACAGGCAGATGGACTACTCGGTTTTGCGCCGCTTGGTGGTGAATTGATGTATGGCAAGCTAGATGTTGTGAGGGCCCTTTGGAAGCGAGTGAACAGTGTGCAGACCCCAAAGGATTATTACGACCTGAGGAGAATGGCGCTGCGAAGAGTTACCAGGGGATTATTGATCGACGCTAAACACTCAAGGGAAAGACGAGGCAGATAAACAGTCAGACAATTACTGGTGCTATAGGAATTGGAACGCTTCAGTTGCCGCTGAAAATAGGGACAGAGCGCTTATGGGAGTGTCCCGAGTACTGCAATGTCAATTCATATTTCAACATTCGACATAAAGTTACAATCCAAATCTCAAGAATTTACTCAGAACGGCTACTGCAATGTGTCTCCTTCGCACCTAATCTCTCTTGTGCAGATTTAACACTGGCTCTGTTGTCTGGGTGTTATGTCACAGTTTATTCCAACCAGACTGCACTTCTGTTCACCGGCCACACAACTTTAAATGACAGTCGACGACAGCTGTCGCACTTCACAGGTTTATAGTCAATGCAATACAAGCGACAAGAGTCAACAGTAGAACTAATCACTTACGCCATTCAGGCACTCTCGCCTAGCTCACGCTCTAAGTCTCCAGCCACGCTTCAAACGATGGATACTGGCATGTACACGACTGGCATAACGAACAGGCCGTGGAGCACAACTGTTGGCCTAAACAATAATTCAACACCGCTGCATGTCTTGTCGTTCAGGACTAACATTCACTCGATTCTCATCCAGATCCACGTGTGCACTTATCACTCTGGATTCAGCTTCACGTCCTTCCAATCTGGTGCCCAGTCACCGAATGACCACCTCATTCTCAACCCCCCAGATCACGCATTCTCACGTGACTCGCTCACTCATGTCTTTTCACCATATCTCCGTGAAGCACATGCTATCATGGACTCACCCAATTCTGCCAGTCATACCCTGACGTTATCCCTATTTATAATATCATTACAGTTACAGAGTAAGAGTTTTTTTTTACTATTATTATTATGTTGAAGTGACTTGTAGAACGGACTATTGTATAATGCATCCCAGAATACGTCGGTGTCTGTGGCTTAGGCGTTGCGAACGTGTTTCGTAATGCCGAGGTGCAAGTTTTGTTTCCCGCTGCTAGCGAATGACTGTTTAGCACTGGTTCCGACAGTTGTATCGACAGCTGACCGTTTAGAGAGCAATGGCAAATTACTGAACGTAGCATTGCCTAGTAAAATCAAACAAATAGCTAAACAATGCTGGGGTGTTTCTGTTTAACGTCATGTAAAGAACACGCAACAACCCTGCTTCCCGCTCCGCCCCCCCCCCCTTCCCACCTCCACCACAATTCCGTGTGCTCATGCCGTTTATCCCCTCCGGAATACTACCTTCAATGTTTCACACCCTGAGAAGGAAAAACCTCAACCTGGATACAAGACTAACTTGAAGTTGAAGGTATTCCGTGAGGTTGCAGAATCTCAGTGCTGATGGCAGACCAACAGAACAAGCTTAAATTCCCCATTTAACACCCAAGGAAGTTATAATTAGTGTACGGCACTCATAACGGCCCCAGTAGCCCTAGGTAACTGGCTGTCCGTGAGTGAAAGGATAGCTCAAAACGCCAAGAAATCCGTGTTTTATTTATTTATAGTGTTCAAAGTAAACGACTGATGTATGGAATAGACGCAAATAACGTAGACAGCTACTAATCAATTGCGGTGAATTCCTCCAGGATGACGTCACATGGCAGTAAATAATGTTCGAGGGTGTTAAGAGCGGTTCCCGGCTTTCTGATGCTTTTAACTAACCCAAATCATCTAGAACTGGCCCTAACCCCAACCCACCTACCTCCCACGAGAGAGCGCAGCCTTGGTCCCACGACTGCATGCAGCCTAGGTCCCACGACTGCATGCAGCCTATCTACCACCCCTAAAATATTCGACTGTCTGTTTGGGGGGAGATATTGTGATAGAACCTAAATTACAAACATACAATAACTGAAACCTGGTATGGTGGAATTAATAATTAATGTTGAGCTTTGGGAGAAAACTTAACAAATTTCAGTGGACCAAGAGGGAAAGAGTCACTGGCGTTAGGCAGGATAACGTTGCGAAAACACGATAAAATTATAACTGGAATGTCTTTGCACCGGAATCTCCAAGAACATAAAAACAACGGTTAAAAAACATAGCGATGAGAGCTAGCGAGTGAAGTCAAAAAGGATAGGGAAGACACGGAGTGAGCTGCATGCATTAGCAAAGGATAGAAAGATCTGGCATGAGTTGGTTGAGGCCTCATGCTCCATTTAGGTATAAAGAACAGACGAAGAAAATAAGCGACCTATTTAACCCAGTAGCACTTGGCAGACGTGCTGTTGAACCCCTACTTTATATAGACCAGTGCATTCAGTAGGTGATGTGGTCAAACTTTCTGTTACTTGATTAATTACTTCAGAGGACAACTCAGGCGTGCTTTGTTAGCTCTGATTGAAAGGTAACACCAACAGCCAATAGCATTGTAACAAAACATGCATCAGAGTTTCCCTCATAGATCGGCTGCCAACCAAGGACATGGCTTGCCCTGCCTTAACAATACGTTTTAAGGATGTATTTCTTCTATCTAAAAGAAATAAATTAGTATATAATGTTAACTAAGTGACTTACACTCCGTGGTCAACAAGAATTCTCTCTATATCCACAGAAACACACTTCAAATGTCCATCTGGCTTCTACATCGCCGATGAACATCTTTGCGATGAGTGGAACGACTGCAGGTTCAGTCACATTGATGAACTGCACTGTAAGTACATAAATGTTCATGATAGTAAATCGGATAATCGATTTATCAATTAATCGTAGTAGTGCAGCTTCACGGTCAACGGGTCATTCTAAAGTTGCTTCATTCCAGTGCCAGGGAAAAACCGTACACAATGCTCATTAATGTCTTATTTTTCTTCTACTTTTGTCAGACCAAGAAAGATACAGAACTTTACTGAATGGACAGGCCTTATGCATGCAGCCATAAAGTCCATTGCATCTGACCGTCAAAGGTTGAGCGAGCTGATGAGACAGTCAACAGCAACTGGTTACTCAACGATACGTAGTGATACCGGCAGTTATTGATAAATAAAACAAGAATACATATACTCAATTGTACGTAAACGAATGAAAAGACATTACAACAAAATGTAATAAACAAGAAGGAAAAACAAAGCCAGCAAAGACGAGCAGAAATGTTTACAAATAAACTTGTTCGTACATAAAGACACAAAGAGTATTCACAAATTATGACTTGGCGAAGTTATTAAATCCTTTACCGTACATTCTACAGACTGGAAGTTCATATAAGGAAGTTGTGAAGTCATCCCAATGTGTGATGCAATTTTTGTGTTATTTGAAGCCCCACACAAGATTTTTCCAGAGGCCCTGAATATAGCCGGGCCATAAATATGGCCTCGCGGATGAAAAAGGTTTCTGGTACCTCTACCCGGGTGATCCTCATCGGGTGTTTATCGCTTGTGTGATGTCCTTGTGGGGTACAACTACCTACCTACCTCATATTAGAAGTTTGTTTTAATGTTGACGAGTTCAAATTTTTGGGAGATCACTGTAAGTAGTCGCTGGATCTATGTTTTTGATGCTTTGTTTTTCTTTACGTTTGCGACGCTTGTAACAGCTACCCGTTCTGCGGAGAATGAGTTAGCCATTCTAGATAATACTTCGGGCAGTGGAGTCAATTTTTTCACCTGCACACCTTTAAATAAGTTATAAATGTAGTTAATTTTAAATCAAGGGTTTACACATCTATTTAGGTGCCTCTCAGTGTGATGAGAATCAGTTTCGCTGTCCGGACACACAATGCATCAACGCTGGCAACGTTTGTGATGGCGAGTGTGACTGTCTGTCTTGTGCTGACGAAGATAACTGTGGTAAGTAGGAGACTCGACTGACTTCTTTAGTTTTTGGAGTTTAAAATGTGACAATTTGAGACAAATCGTTGGCAGGGGAGAAAGTTTACATACATGTTAGTAAATTGCTCGACAAAACTAAATATGGAAGACACATTACATGTTTGAAACATCACGGGAAATTGAGGCAGGTCCTATTAAATGTTAGCAAATTATTCCAGGGAAAAAAAAGCCTAATGTAGAAGATACATTATATGTTTGAAATATTAAGGTAAATTGAGGCTATTCCTACTAAATGTTAATAATTTACTTAAGCAAAGCTAAATGTAGAAGATACATTAAATGTCTGAAATATCAAGGACATTTGAGCCGGATCCTATGTTAATAAATTGCTCAACAAAGCTAAATGTGAAAGACAAACTATATTTTTGGACTATCAACAGATATTAATGTTGAGGCTACTAGTAAATATTAGTCGATTTCTCAACAAGGTTAGATGTGGAAGACACATGAATTGTTTGAAATATCAACACAAACTGTGGCGAGTACTTACACACGTTAGTCAATTGTTATGTCATAACCGTCGTCGGGGGGTCCTAATATAACTTTACTGTTGAACTGGGTTTCAGGGACTTGTTCTTTGAGAGTTCTCATCCGAATAGTGGTACTGTGTGTCACTGGGTGTTAATCGCTAGATGTGTGACTGACTGACTCACTTTCTACCCCACCAGGACATCACACAAGCGATAAACACCCGATGACACAATGTGGCACTAAGTGGGTGAGGATCACCGTGGGGAGGTCCCAGAAACCGCGTTGAGCCTTTAGGCCATATTTATGGCCAGGCTATATTGCGGCCCCTGGCTAGAGCCAGAGTCTTCTTCAAATAATGAAAAATTGCATCCTATAAAGGACGGTAAGTGATATCGACATCACCCAAGAATATTAGACTAATCAACTAGATGTGTGGTCCTTTTGGGCTTAAACGTCACTCACTCAGCGACGCTAAATGTGGTGAACAAATAAAAAATGTGGAATATGAAAGGAAATTAAGGCGATTCCCAACAAATGTTAATATTTGCTCAACAAAGATGAATGTGGAAGACAAATTACATGTTTGAAATATCAACCGAAAGTGCGGAAAAGAGATAATGACTTATAACTGATAATCTCGTCTCATCCTAATACATTTATACCTTCCGGCATTGAAGCGAAGGAGAAATTACCGTAGAGTGCATCTTATGTCCTCTGTAAAAAGAGCTTCTTTACCTTCGCTCTGAACTTTTTATAAACAAAAAGACATGATTCTGACATTGAGGTTGCCCTGGCAAAACGAGCATTTGCGTTTGACTGTTCTTGAATTAGTACCTCAATTATAGAGAATTCCCTTATTTGCTTCGTTCACGAAATTTGAATTGCAGTATGCATCTGATAAGATACAGTGAAATATGCCAGGCAATAAATTGTGCAATCTTTTGTTTGTGTCTTTTTTGCTCCAACTGTCAATTTGCCCATTGTTTGCATGCTCGCTTGTTTCAATTCCCCAACTGGTTTGTACATTGTTCCTTATTGTGGCCTGCTTTTTGTATATTAGTACGCCAGCTAACTGGCTGAACGACTTCACTTCTAATTTTTTCTAACGCAGTCTAGGGCGTTTACTGTTATGATAGGTATCAGAATACATTAGAGACATAAATATATAAAGGTGGAATTGAGAACCAGTTCTCAAACTGATAAAGTGTATAATCACTCATCATCATGTAGCAGGTTCTTTGCAGAACGTCGCTCTCATCACGGTCTACTTGAAAGAAATTCGGTCTCTCGTCAGCTCTCATATACTTTCATACTCAAGGAGTCATTTTTGTGCCCATCTTCGTGTTGGTCGGCTCCTGCCCCCTCTTCCTGGCACCATGACTTTTGCTATTATTTTTTCCAATCCGTCGTGTCGCTTGAAATTATTAAAATATTTCAGCTTCCGAGACAGGATGCTGTTTATTAGACAATCTTCCTTGATGTTCAGATCCTTCAAGATGTCAGTCTTTCTCCTGTTGTTTGTCCAGTATAAAATGACTAGAACTCAACAATCTAATGACAGATGCTTGGAGATAATCAGGAGCAGGCAACAGATAATGTCATAAATCATCAGTATTCAATTAATTTGTGTCTTCTTTTCCTTATATCTTTTCTTTTTCTGCCGCTTCTTCCCCGTCACCAACTACTCCTCACCATCATCATCTTTATTTTCCTTTTCTTCTTCTTCTTCGTTTCTCTTCTTCTTTTTCTTCTTCTTCTTCTTCTTCTTCTTTTTTTTTTTTTTTTTTTTTTTTTGGCGTTTTCTTCCTCTTCTTCTTCCATTAAATCATCCCATAACAAAAGTAATGCAATAAACACATGCTTGTTCTCGATGTATATAATTTGTTACCATCTGTTCTTGTTTTATATATGGCTTTGCTTGTTACTAATCATCATATACTTTTTATATCCCTTCCCCCACGCCCCCACTCACTCTCCATACACACACTCATTTTAAAGAAAAATTTGATAAAGAAAACTTGTAGTTATAATGTGCATTCTATTTAACACCCGTGTCTTCATGTCGTGTTAAATTATTCCTGAGAGCTATTTCAAATTTCAACACGCCTCAATTACAAGGTTGCTGAATCTGTGGAAACCATCTTTTAAATTGATAAGAGACCTTCCTATGAAGGGTAGAGTCAGGTTGGAAGTGGGCCAAATTACCGCTAAAGGCACTTTGAGCCGCTGGTGGCTTTAGCTTCTATTGTAGGGGCGACTTTGAGTAATTAAATGATCAGGTGCACCGAGGCAAGGAACATTTCATCTTTGAGGACATTTGAGAGAAAATCTTACGCAGAGAAAAATAAAAAATGCAGGGGGTATTAAGGGCTCCTAAAGTTTCAGGATCAATTTTGAAATGCATTAAAAACAGAGGCATAACTGATCAGACTTTTCACAAAAAGGAAGAATAGAGTGGCACAGAGGCAACTTATTTGACTAACGGGTCTAACATTTGGAAGTTGAAATATTCATTTAGACGATTGTATTGCATTACAGTGTGTCCACTCCCCCTTTCTACCCTCCACTTACACACACACACACAGTCACACACATACAGACACACATACCCACAAAGACACGCACAGACACACGCATACAGACACACTCACACATAGACACACAAACAGACACACACAGACATACACATAGACACATTTACACCGACACACACACAAACAGACACACACGGACACACACACATACAGACACACACAAACACCGACACACACATAGACACACACACACACTCCGACACTCACACATGGACACACACACACACAGATACACATACAGACACATTCACACAACGACACACACATAGACATTCACACACACACACGCACACACACACACACACACACACACAGTATTGCAGTCTGCAGAGCTAACACCACAAGGACACGAACCTTACATGTACACAACCCGGTAAGCCATGTTTAGCCGTTAACGTCTTCTTTTTCTTTGCTTTGCGTTCAAGGGCCACAAGACCCGGTTTGAGTTTTGCGTGCACGTCTGTTTTATGTCTCCCGCTTATTTGTATGCAGACTGTTGGATCCTTGCCTCTCAGGCAGACGCACTCCGACTTTCAAGGAAACACGCCTCCTGAGTAGTCTCCTACGACATGCATGTTGGGGAGCTGCGGGCTAATATTTGTTCCCTACAATGGAGGCCCAGAATCTGCACAGAGAAAGTACTGGATAAAAATAGTACTGGCAAATATATAAAGTGAGGCGCTGCGAGTCTGACTCGTAATTCCAACGTACCGAGATCGAAACACACTGCTGGCTGCGTGGATTTTTATCATGGTATAGGGCGTCGCAGGTCGAGCCAGCCTTAAATGAATTACCCAGCCATATTACCCAACTAGTGCCGATTGATCGGTAAAAATACGGGTATTCTTCCCATATGCCCGATGCGCCCAGAGTGTGGAAAAGGATCTTTTCTGTTTTACTTTAAATATATGAAGCGGAATATTGAGGCCATTTCCAGTAAATAACAGTTAATTTCTCAGCAAAGCGCTAAAAAATGTGGAAGACAAGTTGATTTTGAAATATGCCTTTATATACCACTTTTCTGGTGCAGGAAAGGGGGGGGGGGTCTTTGAGCCTGAGAATTTACGACCGCATGGCTAGTGCTGTCGCCACGACTGTGCAGATGAGGATTTTATTTCATTGCTGATCTCACAGTCTCCAGTTTTATAGCCCAGAGTCCTAACTGTTTGGCCAGCTGCTCCTCCAGCCAGGCAGTGATTCTGTATAAGCCTATTTGTAACTGTATCCCCTTTTCTTTGCACTATCTTCTTGTGGAGGCTTCTCTAGCTACAACGTTACTTTGTCCTTTGCAATTTTGATAATAGGTCGCTACACGGAATTTTTTCCAATTTATGACAAAAATATCATTTTTTTAAATGTGTATGTTTTTGTAAAGTTCGGCGTTCGTAGAATAGATTACACACAAAACCTATGTCATTTGTAAACAATTTAGCTTTGAAAAGTTAATACTAAAGGCACCAACCCATGCTATTTCTTAAGATGAAAAAGAAAGTGTAAAAGTCCGTTTTCTCACATCTGTATGTTTCTGTTTGTAGTGCGTGTGTGAAATCCTAAAATCTCAGCAAATGTAAAGACTAAAAACATGGAATTTAGTATGGATCATTTTAAACAATATTATAGGGACTGGTCTTTTCAAAAGTAGATTTTATAAATTAATTTTTTTTCTAATTTGATTATTGTCTTATTGTGGCACAGTCGTGCCTATACATCCCCCAAGAAATAGATGTGCCTAAGTCGGCCATGTGGAATGAATATGGTTCGTATCTCTCTTTAATCGTACTCAAGAACAAGGCCAGTGATGTAATCAATTACATAAGAGCTGGTTTATTCATAATATTCTCGTCACACACATTTCATAAATTCAATAAGCAATAGTATATGAACACTCCTTATTACT